CAGGAAACCTCAGCCCGGGCTAGGTTTGAAAGGGCAGGGGAGTGTTCGCCCCGGAATAATCCACTTTTCTGCTTCAAGCGGGGAGTGTTAACCCTGGAATAATCTATCTGGGCACCATTCCTTTTTGGGGGGGGGGGAGGGGGTTGTCCCTGGGTTCACCGGGAATCCAAATGGATAAATTTTGTGGGTGACACCCCATGGCTGCGAAGAAATCCGGGGTAAGCCGGAAACCCAGACCGCAGCCACAACGGTGCGACTTCCAATAACTCAACCTCACATGCGGAATCGGCAGGACCACAGGGACTGTGACTCCAAAGAAGGTTCGGATGAGCTTGCCTTCACGAAAAGTGGAGAACCGTGGTCAGGGGCTGCTGTTCTTCGTTTGATTTTGCAGCAAACTGATATATTAGGGGTTCCTGGGTTTAGTGGGGACTCAGACCACTTTTCGAGGGGCCAAAACCACCACCCCTTTTTTGCAAACTGGGGTGAATTCGTCTGGGGGGGGTCAACTTTAGTCTCCGGGATCCGCCGAAGGTCCGGACCCCCGGACCTCCAGTAACGTTCCCTCGGCCTGCGGGTGAGCGCACGTACGCGAAATAGTGGCCCGAGTCGACCTGCGAAGGACAAAGGCTCCCGTTTTCTCAAATGGTTGCGGAAGCAACCGCACAAAAAGAACTCTCTGGTGAAAGCACTAATACACATATATGATATGCTTGTTAACTAACACATCAAAACACTCATAATAAAAATGATAGTAATAATAAACAATTGGAAATCAAGGAACCCCCCTCCCCCAAGAAAGGACTTCCATCATGCATGAGCACAAACAACTATATACCCCTAAGTGAGCTATCAGCCAGGGGTTGCACCTTTCCCCGAGCGGTCTGAGGCTTATAGGGGGTATTGGCTAGTCTCGCGGACCGGTCTCATCTACCAACGCTTGATTTGGGGTTTCAGCCTTTGGCGAAACCCCAAAGGCTTCTGTGGCGATTCAAATGTGAAGCTGCGTTTTTGCTTGAGAAGCCTCCTTCCCAAGTGTTTGGCCCATTTCTCTCTCTCTCTCTCTCTCTCTCTCTCTGCCGTTGCGTCCAGGGGCTCTAGTCTTGACCCAGCAAGGCAACGAAAAAGGTGCCCCTGAACATGTCTAAAGAGAATGATGTTTAAACACATTGGAAAGGGGTAATTGTAAGATCAGCTGCCTTGGCGCCTACTCCCCAGCCCTTTGCAGCGGGTGTTTGCCTTCTTTGGGGGTTACCTTCTGAGGCCCTACTGTATCACCTCGTCTGCTCCAAGCGGCAAATCCCCTGTGAATGATCACTGCCCTGAGCTCGTAGACGAGCTCCTGTGGGACGATGGGCTCGCGAGAGCAAACAAGACATGCAAAAAACAAGTGACCAGGCGCAACCCATAGCCTAGCACGACAGCAAACTACATAGCACAGCATAGTTAACATGGCATAGCATGACATGACACAGCGACCACATAATAAAATCAAAAACACTGCATAAACCTGAAACCTGGTAACGCAGCCTAGAAACACATGACATACACAAGCACACAAACGCAAACACACACAGACACACCAACACCAGCACCAGCACAAACACCAACCGAGACACAGACACACAGACAGACAGACACACACACACAGACACACACACACACACACAGATCCACACACACACAGACAGACACACACACACACAGACAGACAGACAGACACACACAGACACACACACACACACAGATCCACACACACACAAACACAAACACACACACACAGACACACACACACACACAAACACACACACACACACAGACACACACACACACACACAGACCCACACACACACAGACCCACACACACACAAACACACACACAAACACAAACACAAACACAAACACAAACACAAACACAAACACAAACACACACACACACACACACAAACACACACACACAGACAAACACACACACACACAAACACAAACACAAACACGCACACGCACACGCACACGCACACACACACACACACAGTCACCACGCACACACACACACACACATACGCACGCCCGCAGCCACGTAGGCAGGGGCGCGCGCGCACGCACGGTTTTAACAACAATGACAGCAAAACACAGCACGGCACGACATGGCACAAGCAAGCAGGCAGGCAGGCAGACACAGACAGGCAGGCAGGCAGGTAGGCAGACAGACAGACACCCAGACAAACAGACAGGCTGGCAGGCAGGGAGGCAACCAAGCAAACAAGCAAGCAAACAAAAAAAACAAAAAACACGCAAACAGGCTGGCAGGCAGGCAGGCAGGCAAGCAAACAAGCAAGCAAAGTAGCCCAACAAGCACACAGGCAAGCAAGTAAGCAAGCAAGCAAGCCAGCAAGCAAACAAGCAGTCCCTGGAACACAAGCACGTCCGCATGTGGCCAAACTGATCTGATGCAAGCTGCTCTATGCGTCTGATTGATCGAACGAACGCTGCCATCGGGTCTGTATCCATTGAAAAGAGTTGAGAACTAGAAATTGAAACCAGTGCCATCCTTTATCAAACCAAACCGGCCTAAAGAAGACACCTGTGGCATCAAGCCCCACGACTTCCGGTGATTTGGGAATCCCCCAAGCTTCTCAGCCAGTGCGTGTGGCTGGGTCAAATTTGCTCGCGTTGTCCGTGCCCACAGCCCACGCGTCTTGAAGATTCAATGCCCGTACACTGCATGAATCTTCCTTCCAGTCGAGGCGTGCCAACTTGATCTGGGAGTATTTGGGGAAAATGGTAACGGAGTTGAAGGTCAGGGGCGAGCTGAGTCCCTAAAAAAACCTATCCAAAGGGGGTACCCCCCTATCAGAAGACAGACCCAGAAAAAGACCCTTTGACATCAGGATCATTCCCCTCTGACATCATGATCAGACCCCTCCGACATCATGATCAGAATGCGGCATCATTGAATGACCACCCAAGGTGTCCCAGGATTTCTTGTGATGTCCTGGAAGCAGGCAAACCAAAGGCATCCTTGATGTCTTAACCAGTCTTGCCGCACGCTTTGCCCTGAAATCCTGAAAAGTTTACACGTGGGCCAGGCCCAAAGCCCTAAGGGGCGTCTGAGAGGGGCGCCAAAGCCTGCCTTCGCCACTCTTTCCAGAGATCCTTTGCGGCATGCAAAACAATCCCAGGGTGAGCCCGCCCAGAGTTCGACGAAGAAAGAGATGTTGAGCAGACTGGGGGATCCACCGCCAGAGAAACCCAATTGTGACCTTAGAATTTGGAACCCTGGGATCAATTCACAGCAATCGGACAGCATTGGAAGACCAACGGGGATGTTCGACCTCAGCTTTGTGGCGAAAAAAAGAAAGGTTGTGGCCCTGAAGCCCCACACACAAGCTATGCCCAGTGGCCATGGGGAAACAAAGGGCATCCTTCTTTGGTTGGTTCCGCCACATTGCTCAAGCCCCCCCCCCCCCCAAATTGGAGTGAGTGGAGCCCACATCCTGGCCGAAGCCCAAAATCAGGCCGTCCCGCTAAGGGGAAGGGCAAAGCATGAATTAAATCTGTTTCGCAGCTAAAGGGAAAGTTGGTAAGTTAAGTTTAAAGGGGAACCCTTGCCCCCCAAAAAAAAGGAAAACAGGGGCGCAAAACCCTGGGCAAATGGGCAAAAGTCCCTTCAGACGTCGCCTGCTCTTCGGCTGCTCGCTGCAGCTCCTCCTCCACCTCCTGCAGTGCCCTGCTCAGACCCTGCCGAGTCGATCCGATCGACCCGAAGCGGATGGAGGGGGCTGAAAAAAATATGTGCCTGGAGTCTCCATGACCCTCAAAAAATGGGTCAATGACCCCATTATTTTGGGTAATGACCCCATTTTTTAAGGGTCGTGGCGACTCCAGGTGCCTTGGAAAGAACCTGTGCAGAGGAGCACCTACAAGATACCAATTTGTGAAGCATCCTCTTGCTTTAAACACCCTTCTTGTATCCTTTTGCTTCAAGCACCCTTTTTGTATCCTCTTGCTTCAAACGCCCTTGGTGGGTTCCATCCGTACATTCGTAAAGCAAAATGTCCCACTTCCGAGTTCAACCCAACTCGCCAGCTGGATCTCGCCTCCTGCTGCTCGGCAGCCTCCAGCATGTCTTGCTCCAAGTGCTCGGTCTCGGTTTCCCGGGGGGGTGGTTTCAGGGACCCCACTTGGCTGTTCGGCCAAGTTGGTTGTTGGGAACCTATAGGCTACCCACTTTTGAGTCCCCCAAAGTGTGGTTGACCTTGTTCTTAATTGTTGATCGCCAACTTGGCATGCTGGCCTATGGTGCCCAAAAGAGCCTCACTGCTGGCCTGTGTTCGAACATGGGCCCAAAAGGAACCTCACTTGTCATCCCAAAAGGTCCCTCTCAAAAACAAAAACAACGCATATAATTACATACATGTGTATTGAGGGCATTCTTTTTGGACTTTGTTTTACAGGAGAAAAAACAACCCGACCAACAAATTCGGGGTCAAACCGGGGTCAAACCCTCACCCGCGCACCCACCCTCTCCGCGGAATCGAATCGGGGCCACGGCGACCAGGGACTCGGACTTGGACCCCACCTGGCGCCGCCCCTGCAAAGTTTGTTCTCCGGCTCAGCCGTTCTGTTGAAAGTGTACCATGGCGCCTCTCATGGCCTGACACTAAGAAGGGCTGTTAATACGTGGGATGAACCTGCTGCAAGATGAACCGCTGTCCGTGTTCAGATCCCCTGCTAAAAGTGACTATTTCTTAGTGGGTTAAATGGAACTAGTCACTGAACCAACTAAAGACCTAAAAACAGAAGGACCGGATGGAACCGCCAAAGCTAAGACCCTCTGTGAAGAGGTATGGCTGGGGAAGCAACCCAAGTGCAAAGCCTTGCGCTTTGGAGGCCCTACCCCTCGCAAGGGCCTGATGTAATCGTCTGGACGTGGGAAGTTCTGGGAACTGCGATCATCCTAAGGTCCCTCGAAGCTCGCCGCAACCGCCATTCGTTGAACCCTGAGCCCACCTCTGCCCCTTTCATATTGGAATCAAATGGCCCTGGATGAACAAACGTAAACAGAAAGCGCCATCTATTTTCAACCTCCTTCAACTTGCTGGTTCTCAGCAGGGAATGAGGGAATGACCCCTATGAACCATCCTTTCTGGCTTCCTTTGTGGGAATCCCCTTCCGGTTCCCAACACCCGGACTCGGTCATTCCCTACCCTTCGCACTTTCTTTAAGGGGCCCCTCCAAAATGGCATCGGTCCCCTGTTGCTTTCCCATTAAAACCACCAAACAACAGGAGTACCCGCGAGAAAGAGTGACAGACACTTTTGCCTGGAACGACACATTTGGTTTCCAAGATGCCACAAATCAGCTTTTCGGGCGACTAAAACGCAAAGAATAAACTGAACGTGGACCAAGCAAAAACCAAAGTAGAAATGAACCAAGAAGAAACCAAACAAACCAAACCCAACCAAACCCAACCAAACCCACCCAAACCCAAACAAGCCCAAACAAACCCAAGCAAACCCAAACTAACCCAAGCAAACCCAAGCAAACCCAAGCAAACCCGAACAAACCCGAACAAACCCAAACAAACCCGAACAAACCCGAACAAACCCACACAAACCCAAACAAACCCGAACAAACCCGAACAAACCCAAACAAACCCAAACAAACCCGAACAAACCCGAACAAACCCAAACAAACCCAAAAAAACCGAACAAACCCGAACAAACCCAAACACACCCAAACAAACCCAAGCAAACCCAAACAAGGAAAACTAACACACAAACCCAAACAAACTTAAAAAAGCAAACAAACAAACAAAAAAAAACAAACAAACAAACAAACAGACCCAAACAAACCCGGAAAAAAATAGAAGAACAACAAAAAATAACGAACAAACAAACAAACAAACAAACAAACAAACAAACAAACCCTAACAACCCCCCCCCCAAAAAAAAAAAAAAAAAACACAAGCCCAAGAAACACCAAAGAAACAAACCCAAGAACACCCAAAAAAAAGAAGATAACAAACCCAAACCAACAAACAAACCTAAACACCCCCCCCAAAAAATAATAATAAAAAACTAAAAAGCAAACAAACAAACAAACAAACAAACAAACAAAACCAAGCAACCGCCCCCCACAACAAAAAAAACAAAACAAGAACCTAACAAACAAACAATCCCAAACAAGCCCCCCCCCAACAACAAAAACACCCAAAAAACAAACACACCCAAACACAAAAACAAACAATCAAACAAAAACGACGAAACAAACAAAACAGACAAAAGACAAACAAAAGCAACGACACAAACAAAACAGACAAACAAGACAGACAAAAACGAAGAACCAAACAAAACAGACAAAAAAGACAAACAAACAAACAAACAAACAAGCGCAGAACCAAACAAAACAGACAAAAAGACAAACAAAAACAATGAAACAAGCAAAACAGACAAAAAAGACAAACAAACGCAGAGCCAAACAAAACAGACAAAAGACAAACAAAAACAAAGAACCAAACAAAACAGACAACAAAGACAAACAGAAACAATAAAACAAACAAAACAGGCAAAAGACAAACACACAAAGAAAGAACCAAACAAAACATACAAAGAAAAACAAACAAAAACATTGAAACGAACAAAACAGACAAGACAGAGAAATAAACAAACGAAGAACCAAACAAAACAGACAAAAAAAGGACAAACAAAAACAATGAAGCAAACAAAACAGACACACAAGGCAAACAAACAAAGACCCACACAAAACAGATAAAAAGACAAACAAAAACAAGGAAGCAAACAAAACAGACAAAAAAGACAAGCAAACAACCAAGAAATCAAACAAAACAGGCAAAAAATGACAAACAAAAAGAAGGAACCAAACAAAACAGACAAAAAAGACAAACAAACAAAGAACCAAACAAAACAGGAACAAAGACAAGGAAGCAAACAAAACAGACACACAAGGCAAACAAAACAAAGACCCACACAAAACAGATAAAAAGACAAACAAAAACGAGGAAGCAAACAAAACAGACAAAAAAGACAAGCAAACAACCAACAAATCAAACAAAACGGGCACAAAAAGAAAAAACAAAAACAAGGAACCAAACAAAACAGACAAAAAAAGACAAACAAAAGCAACGAAACAAACAACACAGACAATAAAGACAAACAAGCAAACAAAGAACCAAACAAAACAGACAAAAGAAGACAATCAAACACAAGGAAGCAAACAAAACAGACAAAAAATACAAACAAACAAACAAAGAACCACACAAAACAGACAACAAAGACAAAACAAAACGACAGAAAAGACAAACAAAAACAAGGAACCAAACAACACAGACAAAAAAGACAAACAAACAAACAAACAAACAAACAAACAAACAAACAAACAAACAAACAAACAAACAAACTCACAAAGAAACAAACAAACAAAGAAAGAACCAAACAGAACAGACAAAAAAGACAAACCAACAAATTAACAAACAAAACAGACAAGACAAAATACAAACAAAAACAAGGAACCAAACAAAACAGACAAAAAAGACAAACAAAAACAACGAAACAAACAACACCGACAAAAAAGACAAACAAACAAACAAAGAACCAAACAAAACAGCAAAAAAAAGACAAACAAACACAAGGAACCTAGCAAAACAGACAAAAAAAAAGAAAGAAACAAACAACACAGACAAAAAAGACAAACGAACAAACAAAGAACCAAACCCAAACAAACCCAAAGAAACCCAAACAAACACCAACAAACACCAACAAAACCCAAAAACAAACCCAAACAAACCCAAACGAACCCAAACAAACCCAAACAAACCCAAAAACAAACCTAAACAAACCCAAAGAAACCCAAACAAACCCAAAGACACCCAAAAACAAACCCAAACAAACCCAAAAACAAACCTAAACAAACCCAAAGAAACCCAAACAAACCCAAAGACACCCAAAAATAAACCCAAGCAAACCCAAAGAAACCGAAACAACCCCAAAGAAACCCAAAGAAACCCAAACAATCCCAACCAAACCCAAAGAAACCGAAACAAACCCAAAGAAACCCAAAGAACCCAAAGAATCCCAAAGATACCCAAACAAACCGAAACAAACCCAAAAACAACCAAACAAACCCAAAAACAAACCCAAAGACACCCAAACGAACCCAAACAAACCCAAAGAAACCCAGAGAAACCCAAACAAACCCAAAAACAAACCTAAACAAACCCAAAGAAACCCAAACAAACCCAAAGAAACCCAAAGAAACCCAAAGAAACCCAAAGAAACCCAAAGAAATCAAAAGACACCCAAACAAAACCGAAACCCAAACAAACCCAAACAAACCCAAAGAAACCCCCAAAAAAAAAACCAAAGAAACCCAAACAATCCCAACCAAACCCAAAGAAACCCAAAGAAACCCAAACAACCCACAGAACCCAAAGAAACCCAAAGATACCCAAACAAACCCAAACAAACCCAAAAAACAACAAAACAAAAAACCCAAAGACACCCAAACGAACCCAAACAAACCCAAAGAAACCCAAACAAACCCAAAAACAAACCTAAACAAACCCAAAGAAACCCAAACAAACCCAAAGCAACCCAAAAACAAACCTAAACAAACCCAAACAAACCCAAACAAACCCAAACAAACCCAAAGAAACCCAAAGAAACCCAAAGAAATCAAAAGACACCCAAACATAACCGAAACCCAGACAAACCCAAACAAACCCAAACAAACCCAAAAACAAACCCAAAGAAACCCAAACAACCCACAGAACCCAAAGAAACCCAAAGAAACCGAAACAAACCCAAACAAACAAACTTAGCCGCAAGTTGGGGGTTCCTTTCTTTCTTGTTTCCCCCGGCTTAGCTCCAACGCTTCTTCGTGGTCTTTGGGCTTGGGCTCAAGGAGTCGGGGAAGCAATTGCGCAAAGCCTTGCGCTTTGGAGGCCTTACCCCTCGCAAGGGTTCCCAAGCAAACCCAAACAAACAAACAAACAAACAAACAAACAAAAGCAAACTTCTCTCCCAACATCTTGACGTCTTTGAATAAGTTTCCGCCTCCGCCGTCCTGGCGCTCATGACCTGCTGGTTGGCCGCCAGCTCCTTTGCGGCGTTTTTGGAGGTACTCCCCCTGTTGCTGTGGTTGGAAAGGGAAACGAAAAGGAAAACCGCCATTTATGTCTCTCTCTCTTTTGTTCTTCTTCTTTTATTTTGGGGGGGGGAGTGGGTGGGGTTCGTTGTTTCTTCTTCAATTTTTTTGGGGGGGTGAGAGGGGGGTTCTTTCTGCTTCTCTCTGTTGTTTTTTTGGGGGGGGGAGGGAGGGAGGGTGGGGTTCTTTTCTTCTTCTTCCTTTTTTTTTGGGGGGGGAAGTGCGCGGGGGGTTCTTTTCTGCTTCTCTTCTTTTTTTTGGGGGGGCACGATCCCCTGAAGAAAACGCCGCCACATGGGAAGGAAACTTACTTGGGGAGCCTGGCTTCATGTTCCAACCACTTTTCAAGGCCAAGGGTTCGGATTTGGCTCGGATTGGTGGGTTCGGACCCTTCGGTGGGCGGACGGACATTTTTTTGGATGCATGTCCCAACCACTTGGAAGGCGAAAAGGGGGGGGGGTCCAAATGACAATCATGAAAACAGGCTGGTGGATTATTCGGGTACCCTTTTTGGGTTGGTTTGGAGGGAAGCCAAAAGGAAGCCGGCATATACAGGTTTAACGCTACTGTTTAAACAGCCTCCTCTCGGTTCCCCTTTCCCTGGATATCCGGCGGAGCAAAAAAAACACTATCAACTCCACGCTCCTCCAAACCTTTTCAAACCTCTCCAAACCTCTTTAACATTGGGTCACTGGATCCGGATTTCCCCTTGAAAAGTTGCAACCGACTGGAACTGTTGCCTTTGAGATTGCCACTTTTGGAGGTTCCAAAAAAGTGGAGGAAACACGAACAACAACAACAAAAAACAAAAACAAAAAACATACTCCCCACCCACTAGAGAGGTTAGTTTCTTGGTTGACGTTGGAAGGGCAGCAAAACTTTAAATTTTAGCAGTTAAGTGGGGATTTCCCACTAAACCACAGTAAGCAAACATGTAAAATGTTTCCCAACGACAACCATGTAAGGGTACCGTTTTAGTGGAACCCTCCCCCAATAAAGAAACGGTAAAAGGGCACGACCTTTTTTCTGTAGTCTATTTTAGTGGACCCCTCCCCCAAAAAAGAAAGGGTAAAAAGGCACTACTGGGGGACCTAGTCTGGAAAGGGACCCCACACCGATCAACAACACTTTAAAAGGGGTGGGTGGTTGGGTTTCGTGGGAATCAGACCACTTTTGGAGCACCCTCATATTGTGAGGGGGTCAACGTTGAGCATGGCTTTCGCGGGTTACCATGCGTACTAACCATTTGCCTGACATTCCCTGCCCGACACAGGGCTCCCTGTGCTTCACCCAATGCAACTTCTCCAAAAGAAAACACTGTGAAGTCGCCAAAAGATATATACTCTTTAAAACCACCTGGCGGAATACAGGGAACTTCTGCGGGTGTAATCCCTGGCAATCAAAGGGTACATGAGCCTTTAGATTTGGCCCAGGCCGCTGAAAACCCCTCCGCCTCGCGGATGCTACGCCTCTTCTCCGCATGCTTCCGCATCCCCGCCGCCCAGGGCGCCTGAAACCACGCGGTTTCCCCGCGTGTTTGGATGACCCCCCGCGCTGATGCTTTGAATTGTTGGCTTGGAGGGAACGAAAAAGCATCCCAGTGGATTCCTGGTACCAGTATAGCAGGCAACCAGCCATTTTCCATTCGGTTTTTAAAGGGTGGCAAGCCCTTGGTTCCCTATATGCAAATGGAATCAGAAAAGTTGTGGCAAGGACTTTGGCACCCAGGTGTGCTCCGCGTGGGCTCAACATAACTTCAACCTCTTCAGGCGAGGTGCCCAAGCAAAGCTTTCGGTGTCATTAGGTGCAAGACCAAGAGCCAGAGCGCTGCTGAGGTCTTTTCATTAATGTTGACCCGGGATCTAAGTAGAACCCGTCCCACTATTGGGGGTGTGTGCCCTCCAAAAGTGATGAATCCCCACTAAAAGGCGGACACCTCCCTATTAATCAACCAGGGGTTCATTAATCGGGGTTAACATGAACGGGGATTTGCATACCGCCATTCACCGTTCAGGAGCTTCATCCGAAGTGGGTCCCATGATTCGTCGGATGCCCAACCCTGGAAGCGATGGCCGCCAGGCAGTGAACGAGACTCTCGGCCCTGCGCATACAAGTGGGAAGTATAGAATAGAAGGACGAGCATGTCAAAGAATATGGCAAAATGCATGTGTACACTCATTACCAAAATGCATGTGTATACATATTATGTAAGCACGTCATGTGAAGACGTCAACACGGATTCCGTGAAATCTAACCTTCAACCCCTTGTCAGCATCGCCTCGAGGGGCGCCAGCATCCAGGTGTTGAGCTTCTGAGGGAAGGTGACTTTGACCTGCCGACTCGCTGCTTCCATCGGCGTCGCAAGAAAAAACGGTCGGATCGTAAACCCAGAAACGAGGGGGTTGTATGAACATACCTTATGGCTTTTTGGGAAAGGATCTTTGGATAACTTTTTCGGAAACCATTGGACCCACACAAGTTATGTCACAAGTTAAGCTGTTTGCAAGGAGGTCCGAGATGGTCCTGCACGAGGTCCTCTTTGTGGCCCTGGATGGTTTCACTCCCTGCTCTTTCACTATGTTTTTGGGCCGAAAAGGCTCCCCACCCCACTGAGCGCACCCAAGTTGGAATGAGCCCTGGCTGAATCATCCCCTGAACCCCTGGCTGACAAACATTGGGACGTGAAGCGCAAAGACTTGGCCTTTGGGATTTCGGGACTCGGCCCAAGCCGAGGGGAGCCTTGACGCTCCGCAAAGAAATGGCCGGAACGAGTTGGAATGGCAACCCATCCGGCCGGAATGCCAAAGACTTGCTTCCCTGAAGTGGAGCTTTGCTACTCCTCCGCTCTTTGGGCAAGCCTCTTGCTTCTCAGTAGGACTTCCATAGAAAACATGGTTCCCCCCTTTTGGTTGAGGTGAATCCACCGGGCCAAATAGTCACTTGCAGCTCATGGCTTCGATCCGCGCTTTGATCCGCGCCTGCCGTTTCTTTCCGCACTGGGCGACGCGATCGTAGGCAAAGCGATCCAAGTTCAGCCAGAGTACCTGGCGATCTCGCGATTGAGCTTCATCTGTGAGCTTCCCTGGGTCCTCCAGAAATAAGAGGTTAGTAGAAGTCGGTTCCCGTTTCTTTTTTCTGTGGTCTAGTAAAAAAGGGAAGCGCGATGAGCTTCCCTGCAAGGTCCTCCAGATTTGAGAGGTTAGAAGAAAAGTTGGCACCCGATGTTTTTTTTTTTTTTTTTTTTTTTTTTTTTTTTTTCTCTGTGGTCTAGTATAAAAGGGAAGCCTCCCCGAAAAAAAAGAAACGGTAAGAGGGCACCTAGCTGGGAGACCTAGCCTGTCTAGTCGCCATCACCCCGGCAGGGTTCCCTGCATTCGGGGTGTTGGACGACGCCTGTAGGCGGGCTTGGGCACTTTTCCTGCCGCCGTCCCTTGTTCACAGCTTTCTTTTCAGCATCCCTCCGCCTAAACCGGGGCAGGGGCTAAAAAGACCGGGCTCTTTCACCACTTCGCGGTTTTCGCCAGCGAGTCTCAGTCGCTGAGCCAATTATTCATCCCCATGTGCGGATGCAGGCATCCCAAGCCAACAAAGCCAGGCCAGTTTCGGCAATGCTGGTAGGCCCTTGCCCAAAAAGGGCCGACCAGCTCAAAGCACGTTCGACGTGTCCCTTTAAAACCAAATTTATGCACCCTTGCAGCCAAGCATGCCGACAAAGTTCGGCTCACACCCCTGCGAACCCATTCTCACCATGGCAACCTATTTTGCGATGCCTTCCCCACCTATGCAGGACATTGGCCGCTCCATGCCGCTCCCTGCTCTATGATTCCCACATCTGAAATAAGAAATCAATCGCGAGCTTGTTCTACCCCCCCTGTTGCTAATTTATTTGCCAACATACTGACCCAATGGGTGTTTTTGTAGTCAACATCCCTATTATTATGGGAACGCTGCAGGGTAAATATAGGAAGACATTCGCTGCAAATGAGGTGAGCTCGCCGTATTTTGCCCAGATCCCTAGGCAGTACATCAACTCAGCAGCTCAGCAAGCCGGACCCGGGCGCACCGGCGGCAAGCGGTATGAGCGGCGAACGATGCTGCCTTGCACGTCCTGGGCATGGTCCTGGCGGCAAGAGTTGTTCTGCGTGCATGTTTTATTCTTTTTTTCTGGCGGGGATGGGGAGGGGGAGCACAATTGTTTTCAAGACTGATACATCCAAAAGGATAGCTTCATCCAAAAGGACAGCTTCATCCAAAAGGATAGCTTCATCCAAAGAATAGCTTCATCCAAAGGGACAGCTTCATCCAAAAGGATAGCTTCATCCAAAGAATAGCTTCATCCAAAAGGACAGCTTCATCCAAAAGGACAGCTTCATCCAAAGGATGGCTTCATCCAAAAGGATAGCTTCATCCAAAAGGATAGATCCTTCCAAAAGGATAGCTTCATCCAAAAGGACAGCTTCATCCAAAAGGATAGCTTCATCCAAAAGGACAGCTTCATCAGAAAGGATGGCTTCATCCAAAAGCAAGGAATAGCTTCATCCTAAAGGATAGCTTCATAGCTTCATCCACAAGGATACATCCAAATCCAGGGATGCTGCGTTCCTGAAAGGATACATCCAAAACCACCTGCTTTACCAGGGGATCCTCCGAATTTAAATCGGTTGACATTTGGGAGATTCCTTTTTGGACTGGCGCAAGTGTATCCTCAATCGGGGGCCTGAAAACTCGAATGCAGTCCCCGGACATGAGTAGAGCCTCGGATACAAACGAGCGCCCCGCCCCCCCCCGGCTACTCCCCCGCTTGCAAAAACGGGCCAAAGAAAGTGGCCCCATCGATTAAGCAGTTCCATCAATCAAATTATACTAGAACTTCTTTGAGTCACCATGCTTTCAAAAACATATTTGCCCAAAAACATCGTACTCGATATGGGACTGAACCCCCGTGGGACACCAAAAACTTAACAAAATGCATGACTTCTGAAAAGCCATCCAAAAGGCGCTTTTCGTTTCATAGAGCTGTGGCAGCCGGAAACACTGGTTGTATGATTAATCATGGACCCAAAATGCGCTCCAAGCCAATGGGCCAGTGGGCTCCTTCAAAAGGAACCCACTAAACACAGTCCTCCCAAAATCCTTTGACAGGATGTGACAGGCTGAGGCCGGGGTTCCAAATAAACCAAGCAACCACCTTCCGTTCTGTTGAGGGTTGGGCTCCAGGTTGCCCGCGAGTGTTGGAGAAGGAGCCAACGGCTGCGGGCTCCCAGCGAACTCCGACCCCCCCCCCCTCCGATTTTTTTCCAGGCGAGTCATGAGAAAATAATTTGTCTAAGACACACCCAAACCCTCATCCGCGTCTATCGACAACTCAGCCGCGAACATTTCCGGCCCAAGTGACCCAGGTCCATCTCCAAACCCCAAAAGTGACACCAAGCAACCAGCTGGGCTCTTCCAAATGGATGGAAAGGGGACCGGTTCCTTCCGCAAGCCACATGGTGGCTCAAGAGAATGGAGCCCAACATGGCGCTTGGGAAATTGAAAGCCGAAGACTAAAACCTGCATAACAACTGGCTCCAAAGCTTTGAGCCACACCTAAATCAAGGACTAAGATTAAAGGAAAAGTAATAATAAAACACTGGGTATGGGTCAAAATGAAACCACCAATAAACCGCAGGGTTTAGTCCATGCTTCCACTTACCAGGGCAACCCGTTTTGGGTTTCCACTTTTTTGCCCCAGAGCCAACTCAGGGGGCCTCAGGTCCCTTCCGCAAATTCGGAGACCATCGCCTCCAAAAGCTCCGGCAGCGCCGCCGGCTTCGTGACGCAGAGGTCCAACTGCAGTCATGCAACGACTCGATTCGGTCGAAAACGGAATCGTTCCATTCGGCCATGTGATGGTGAACTAGGTCCTCCAGATTTGAGAGGTTAGAATCAGGGTCCCCTTTATTTTTTCTGTAGTCTATTTTAGTAGGGGAACCCTACTCCGAAAAAGGGTAAAAGGGCACTGGGGGACCTAGTTAAGTACCCGGCTCCCGATGGATTTTGGAATTTGGAGCCCCAAACGCAGCCAGGTGTTGAGACCCCAAACGCCACTGGGTTGCCCCAGGGTGAAAGCCCCGTGAGCGGCTGGGTATGGTGTCATAGAGCATCAACTAAAATGAGTCTGAGCGTGGAAAACGAAAGACCCTCCAAAGTGACCATGTTCAGCAAAGCTAACTTGCCAAAGCCTTCGGTTTTCCCGGCACTGAACAACTGGAAGCAAGCCACATCTTCTGAACCGAGCCGGGTTCGAAACGATCCCTGTCACGTGACACGCTTCCGGAGAACCATCCACTTGACTAAGTCAGTGCCAACTCGCAATAATGGGAAGGTCTTGTGCCCTCTGGGCTGAGCATATGCACAAATAGTCCATAGTCACTTGAAGAGTTGCAATGCCTCCCTATGGCCCCGGGAAATGTAATGGTGTCGTTTGGCAAGCGCCCCAACCCTTCCAGGCCCCAAATCCCAGCGTGGGAGGCAAAGAATAAATTTGTGCATAGCAAACTTGCCGACACACCTTCCCAGGAAACTCCGGGCAATACACAACTCAGCGGGTTGTTGGCACAATTTCGGCATTGTTTGAATGTCCTTGTGCCTGGGTAGGCTTGGGATGTAATTGTCGGCCCGCTGGTCAACGCAAGTGCTTATACTGCCCCCAGCTGCGTCGCTTTTTGTGCGCTACATTGGCGACTCCGGATGCTGCCGGCGCATCGCTCGAGCTCGTCCGCCCGGTCTCAGCACACAAACGTCGGACGGAGCATGGTTCGTGGAGCAGAAAACGACTGTGACCTGCGTGAACTGCTGTAATTGGCGAACATGAGACTAAAGAATCCCCACGGAACGGACCTTCATAAACTCTGCCCAAAGAGCTTGCCGGCGAGCAAAATGATGCAGAGCCATAGGAAAGGGAGCGATGGAAAGGTCGCCCGGCTGCAATGCCTGGGTTGCTCCGGCCCTTGAATCGGTCTATCACAACGCTTGGTTTTTGACAGCCCGTTTGGCTTGGTTGAGAGAAGTTGAAACCTTCAAATTGCACGAGTGCCTCAACAAGTATTTTCCAAAACAAGCCTACTCTACAATACACACGCCAGGGTTATAGGGCAGATTGAATATGGATCAGCTTCCTCGGAAACATGGCCCTGGGTTGGAGCAAAGGCCTAGTTGGGACACAAATAAGTACGTGCCCCAGGACAAGCCATTGATATCCCTTGTGAATTGTGCCGACCAACATTCTTGTGCGTGCGTGTGCGGGCGTGCGGGCGTGCGTTCGTGCGTGCGGGCGTGCGGGCTTGCTTACTTACTTCCTTCCTTGCTTGCTTGCTTTGCTTGCTTTATTTCTTTGTTGCTTTGTTTGCTTGTTTGTTTGCTTGTTTGTTTGCTTGTTTGTTTGCTTGTTTGCTTGTTTGTGTGTGTGTGTGTGTTTGCTTGCTTGCTTGTGTGTGTTCTTGCATGCGTCTGTGTGTGTGGGCTGAGTTTGTGTGTGCTTGTGTGCTTGTGGGCATGTGTGCTCGTGCCCTTGCCGGTGTGATTGCATGCGTTGCGTGCCTGCTGGCTTGCTGCTTGCCGCTGTGCATGTGTCCAGATAGCGGACAAACGGTTGCGCGTGTGGCCAACCAGTGTTGCACGGCCAGGAGTCAACCCCGCAGCGCTCAACACTTGGTTGACGTTGGAAGGGGAGCAAAACAATAAATTTTAGCATCTAAGTGGTTGGATTTCCCACTAAACCACAATAAGCAAAAATGTAAAATGTGTCCCAACAAAAACCATGACATGTGCAACATGCCATAAATGCGTTTGCCCAGGTCCTGATGGCGGGCACCATCTCCCACTTTAAGCGCCAATCGCAGGACACGTCCAAGGCCAACTTTCGGGACACGCCCCATGCGTGAAACAACACCCTTGCTCTCTTGTACGGCACTACCCTTCACTTCAGACCTCGAAATCCACCCAGAAGTTACCCTGGAGTGCAATGAGGTTTCCCTTGAGGCGCCAAAACACGATTCGACCTGGGGCGGCAGCCTCTCAACCACTGGGATCTGCGGAGCATGTCCTCTGCGTCCGCATCCTGATTGCAAGGGGGGGCTACAAGGTGGGACAGAGCTACGCAGTGCCAAGACATGGAACTGTTGCGGCAAACCTTTACATGGGTTGTCCACAACCCCTGCACATGCGTTGCATCCGGATCCCCGGTGCATCCGGATCCCGAATTCAATTGCTCCAAATACTCTGGAAAGCCACCCCGACCCCTTGAAAGACAAGCGGTGGCAAGCATCGCGCAACAAGTCTGCCACGCCCGCATCGGTAACACAGCTCACATACGAGTCATGTTAAAATATGCTGTTCCAGCAGAGGACATCAGCAAAGTAGCGAGCTCCCCGCTGTTTGTGTTGTTTGTTCTGTTTCTTGTGCGGGGAAACTCAGCGTCCCCCCAAAGCCGCCAAAGCCTGCGTGTGAGGTCACGCTAAACTTGAGGGGATCCATCACTGGTCGTTTTGTTTGGGGGATCCAAGCAAAAAAGGAGCTCACTTGTTTGAGTGTGTTGGCCCAGAGCCTTACATTCGCCACTATATATTAACATGGCCATCCCACAAAGCAGGAACTCGGGGAGTGAGGAAGCGGGGATTGCAGCTTTGGACTCACTGCAAATCAAGTTGGCGTTCCAAGAGGGTGTCACTTTCAGGGTCTCGATTCCATCCCCACTTTTGAACAAATGGCAAAAATAACGCAAGCATCTGTTTCGGGGAATGAATATCGATAGCTTGAACCAAATCTTCTAAGGGCCCTTTGCAAACCCTTTGGCCAGCCAAACAGGTCGCTGAGTGCATTGCAAAAATTATGGAAGGGCATGCGGCACTCGCGGCTCAGAAATCATATGCAGGTCCACTTCCACGACCGTTGCAAAGAGGATAAAGCTGGGCAAACTCATGTCAACTTCAGATTCATCCAGGCAACCAACACAATCAGGGATGGCAAGCCCCTGTAGCTGTTCCCTTGACTAGGGTCCGCCCGTCTTACGCGAGCTCGTGGAAAATTGCATGTGCCATGGATGGAAATAGCGCAACGGTTGGATGGGAAATATCGTGCCCCGTGCGAGGCCAATCTACCAAACCTTGGGTTCCTTTGTCCAAATGAGAGCTTGGGAAAAAGTCAGCGGCCTCAATGTCCCAAGTTGACGATCCAGCCGGCAAGGAAACCAAGCAAGCCCCTCACCCAAAGGAAGCCAAGACTTATGCTGCTACAACACCGGGTTAACTCACTTCCTGAGTGGATTGGCCAAAAAAAACGTCCCCAAACGTCTTCTCCAAAATGCTCCAGATCCAGAAGCTCCAAGTCCGAAGAGTGAGTCAAACATGTTGAAAGGCCCAACCCTGACCCATGAATCACGAGACCTTCTCCAAGCCATAAGAATTCTCCCCAGACAAAATTGGCAAGATGTCCAAACCTCTTGTTTTGCGCGAAAGTGGTCCTCCCACCAAGTACAAAAATCGTCCAAGAATTCAGGATGTGAGACTTCGACCAGACCCCCACCGGCCAGGCCAGAAAAAGAAGGGCATACTTTTTGGTTGGTTGTTTCTAGGAAAACCTCCCCAATAAAAAAAACGAGTTGTTGTTGCTTCAGGAAGCTCCCCTGCAAAAAAGAGGACACAGAAGGTCACCAGAGGTGTCCTTTTCGTTGAACAGAGAAAGGCGCTTCCTGGCTAAGCAACCGGGGCCAGGCGTCGCATCGGTGGACCCAAAACCAACGAGGCAACTCGGAGGCTCGCGCCTCTTGCGGCGACCTAGCCAAAGACCGATTCGTCCGTTCGTTGAGTTCGGGGTCCACGTGTAGCTTTCCAACCCAAACGGTGTGGTAGCAAAAAACACTTTAAGAATTGTTTGCAGCCCCCAGGACACAAAAACCTAAGAAGCTCAACAACCATGGCAACGACACTGAATCTCAGACACGTTGCCATGGAGCCTAAGGGGTGGACGTCTCCTTCAAAAGGGACGTTCGGCAACGTGGCTTGAACCAGGCCCCACCCAAGGAAACAAAAGGATCAACCAAAAGCCCTGGAACCCGCTGGCCAATAGGCAAGTCCTTGGCGTCCTCAAACCCCACAACGAGGCTTGGAATGGCCATCTGTACTCCAAATATATGCTTTGCTGAAACTGTTTCATATCGGTATCTTTTTCGGGTAATACCCCTTGTTGGTGTGTTTTAAAAGGGAAGCCACAAGGAAAACCAGTTTGGGGGCCTATAAAAAAGCGAGCCACCCATATATGTGGTCTAAGAACACTCGATTTGGCGAAGATCCCTCTGTAGAAGCAGTATGGTTGGCACCGATTTGCTGGGAAACCGTAGCCATCCTTGGCCTTTTCCGAAAAACCCGTTTTGGCTTCGGCTTCGGGGCCATTCGGAATATATTCGGGTGCACGACAAACAGTCCCTCAAAGAACGGGGGGGAGGGACAGTCGGGGGGGAGGGTTTACCCAGAAGGGAATGAATCAGTTTCTTGGCCGATCATGCTGAATAACATTCCTAAGGGGACAACAGCTGAAGTTTGAAGAGGCAAATCTGCAAAGAAGTTCTGCAACACGCAGGCCGGGACAGTTCATTACAACACCCCCAATTCTTGCAAACAACAAAACAACAGGAGTATCCAGAACCTGCTCAGAACCCTCTCATAAACTGCGCCAAGACTGTCGCAAACCATAGCTGCCACAGCTGCAACTGGGGCAAAACGCCCAGTACAGTTTTTAGGGGCATCTGGATCTGACGAGTTGGCTCTGAAGAAGTACTGGGGTTAAAGACCACT